TGGGGTTTTCATATTGCTTTCAAAAGACACTCAGCAAATGCCTGAAATCCTCAGGCCCCACCCCGGCAGGTGGGCCGGAGAAAGAACGACCTACAGATCTTAGCCGCTCCCTGCGTCTCTTTCACCCCCTCTGAACCGGACATCCAGTCTCTCGCGGAGTCTGATGGTTTTAACTCTTTGTCTTGTCCAAGATCTGTCTTTCTTCTCCCAAACTCTCTTGCATATATTATACTGTATATAATCTTCCTTCATTACATTTTTTTTAGCAATTGAAATTGCAGTCTTTCATGTGTACTTATATTTTCCTGGTCGGGTTTTATAAAGTATCCTTTCTGATGTTCTCCTTACCAAAGTGAGCAACTCCCATTCCTCCTCCAGATGCTCCCATCACCCAGGTGAAGCTTCTCGCTGTACTATTGCAGCATTTCTTCCTTCGTGCGTCTGTCATTGCCACCTTTCAGTTGCCTCCCCGTCAATCCTTGCCCTTTCACCAGTGCCTTGCATCTTGCCCATGCATGTGCTTCTCCAGCAACCCCTCCATGCAGTCTCCAACACATGTGACAAGCGCCTTGGAGTTGTTCTTCCTTGTCTTGTGTTGATAATATCTACAAGACTGACCATACCGGACAGCATTTTTACTCTGCTCCAAGAACTCTTCAACTCCAAAACCTTGCTTCAGAGAAAAAGACTAGAGACTAGAATGATGTATAAATGGCATTGTCTCTCTCAAATGAAAGGGCTCATGTGTAACCCTGTCTGAATAGGGCCTTGTTTTAAGCACTGGAGTATGAGATATTGCATACCTAGTATGAAATACGTATCACTATTACCATGAGAAATTCTTTTTTTCTATCTGAGTTCCAAGCCATTACTGAATATCCCTGTTAATGACCATGGGACCATTTTAGTCAAGACCAGTTTTTTATTAGACATTATGTGAAAAAATATTTCTTCATGCTGATTTTGAATTTCTTAATTTAGGGGATTTATGCAAGGTAAAAGGCATAATCCTACTGCTAACTGGGGAGACCAGCTGCTTGCTCTTTAACATGCCATTTATCCTTATCCTGACAAAGCACTCGAGATCGTGGGATTAAACAAGTTCTTCTAACATATCCCGGTATATCCCATGGAAGCAAAAGACTAATGAGTATCTAAAGGGGGCAAGAATTTTAGTATACAGTAGAAAAGCGATCACGCCAATGAGATAGGAGTATAAATGTCAAATGTGGAGATTGCTTCCAACTCCACTGAAAGGCAAAACGTACAAATTTGAAAAAGTTTAGTATGTACCAAAAATTATAACCATCAAATGATATATCACCATTTGTTTGTATGGCTAATAGTAGAAGAGATTACAAGCAATCCAAGTTTATTATTCGAATGATTGTATTTCTTTCAGTAAGCAATGTGTTTGAGTAGGAGGAATTTAGCTATATTGCACATTGTTGTGGCCACATCTGCAAAACTTACAAATGGAGAACAGATAGTGTAGAAAGGTATTACTATGTAAGTCTGTCATCTGTTATTAATATGTCAGTTGTTGGACCTGTGAATTCCTAAGCCCAAACTATAAACTGTGAGATATATTCCATTTATGTACAGCTAGTATTTGTCATGCTGTATTGTTTATGAAATGTGGCACTAACCTTGGTCAGATATTCCAGGAGAGGCTTCCATTTTCAGCACAGGCAGATAAAGGATACTCCTTGCTGTCTTAGTTCAGTGACTGTTGTCTCCTACGTCTGGTGAAATGGAATTTGAAAAGGAAAAGGATGGTCGTGCAGCCCAGTATCGTACAGAGGAAGGTATAGCATTTATGATGAAGGGTAGAAA